CTCATTGAGCCTGTCCATGTAGGCACTGACCACATGGTGGCTGATCTGCTCACCAAGGCACTTCCTGTGGCCAAGGTGCAGCGCTTCTCTCATCTGATGGGACTTGAGGCATTGGGGGGGAGCGAGTCTGGCAGAGCTGCTGGTTCAGGGGGGAGTGTCAGAGTGCGCCCAGCACCTCTGCATCGCTCCTATGCCCTTGGCACAGCAGCCCAGTGGCCTTGGTACGCTTTCCAGCATTCCAGGACACTTGGGTAAAAAGAGGTAAAACTTGCCTATTGTGTGAGTTGAACCTAGAGCCTTGTGGTAGTGCCCAGAGCGCTGCAACCACTCAGCTATTGTGTGTTGAGGTATACTTCTACTTGTGTCTTGTTTATACCTTCACCACCTTCCTTATCCAGTATCTCGCGACTTTGCCCCTATTTCGCCTTTCTCCCCTCTTTGGCTTACTATGGAGAACTCCGAGCTACTGTACAGTTCCCAAACCTTATTTCTTTTCACCTATATAACCCTGGTGTCCACAGAGCGTCTCCTTACTTGCTCACTGTTGGACACCAGGTCAGTACCCTTGTATTTTGTCTTTATCAATACTACTCAGTGCCTCTTCTGAGCGTGATATAGGTGAGGGAGCATTGAGTTGATGTCAAATGATGTCATTGAGCCGCTGTCTCTAGCAGAGTTTTGAGCATGTTGGCAGGGCATAGTCCTAGGTGCATTGGCTGGGCTGGGCTGGCTCTCCAGTTGCCAATTGCTCTTGAAGAGCATGCTGAAGTCCATGGAGGGGCCAGCACTGCTGTGGGAGATAGTTGATTGTCAGGGGCACAGCAGCAAGACCAACTGGTTGTCCAGCTGCCTCTGGCCACAAAGGGTTGGTGTCAGGGATGTGATCCTGTGCGGATGGAGTGGCCAGTACGATGCTGGGGGAGCTCACCTCCAGCTGCTTGAACTGCTTGCCCTTTCCCTCTGGCACCTGCTGCTCACCCTCTGCCACTTCCTGCTCCTCTGCTCCCCATGCATCTCCTGATGCTCCTGGTCTGGCCACTGAGGGATCTCTAGTTCAGCTTCCACTTCCTGCTCTTCCTGCTCTTCCTGCCTTTCCAACTGCCCTGTTGCCACTATGCTGCAGCCACTTGCATCTTGTATCACCCAGTTTGTCATCTCTCAAAGGCCACTCTCAATGTTGTTTCAACCTTGTACCATTGCTGTCCATGTTGCCTTGCCTGGACTGGCCACAAATGCTCTTTGTGTTGCCTGCATCTGCATTGCCCACCTCTCCTGTGTCACCTGCTTGGTCTTGGGTGCTGTTACCCTTGCTTGCCTTGATCCTAGTGGGTGCCTTTGCCCAGTCTTTGAGGTTGCTTGGCCAACCTGCAGGGATGCAGGCAAACTTCATGAGCCCACCATCCTTCTCAATCTCATTTGCTTGCATTGCCTTAGAGGCAATGCAAGCAAGGATTTTCTTGAATTGTGGGCTGGGTAGCTGTCAGTGCACATTGCAGATAACTTACAGAGACATACTGTGCCATCCTGCACCTTCAAGCTGCAGGTCTACTGAGTTAAACCCGCTGAGGTCCTTCACGTTACAGGGAACTCCAATGCGGAGGGTGGCAGCAGAAATCAGACAGCGCAGCCAGGTGATTGCAACCCCCTTGAATGCTGAGATGTTCTTAAATGAAAGTACTTTACCTCTGACCATACTTACTATTTTTGTTGTAGGTGTCATTGTTTGACTAGCCCTGGCCACATGATTAATTTCAAGTGTACTTATGCAGAGCTGACCATGTGCCTTGAGCAGATGCAGAAGTGGGCCAGGGACTTTCAGCTGGTGGCATCCCAGCTCAAGAATGCTCACTCTCCTCAAGTCTGGGCATCCATGTAGGATGTAGTTCTTTTTTCTTTCTTTTTACAAGTCAAATAGTGCATCAATCAAGGTTCAATGATTGAAGTACATAGTGAATAGAATGATTTTGTGCATGGCAGAGGAATTAAAGGGCTATGAACAACTTGACAAGATGATATTCATGCAACACATATAATTGATGAGGATGCCACTGCCTAGCAGGGCTTTTTAACTGTTGCAGAGTTGAGCAGGCAAGGCGTTGCAGCTGATGGGAACAAGGAGTTGCAGCCAGCATCCAAGCACAGAACCAGCTGGTAGAAATGGAGATGAAGTGGATTGATAATGCCACTCAGATTATGGCCCCCTCAGCATGATGAACACATATTGAAGGATCTCTGAAGGGCATGCAGCAACCAGTGTGTATGCTCAGAACTTTGTTAGCTCCTCCTTGGCAGGCTGAAACTGCAAGGACACCCACAACTGCAGGGCAATGTAGAACGCAGTGATCATGCATCAGCTGATTGAGCCTCCACCTACTTGTCCTTATAAACCTGTAGTTTTCCTTCTCTTCCCTCACCCCCCTCATTCATTGTCTCCTGCAGTTCTTGCCTGCTAATAGTTCCCCACCTACCCATGTCCTCTCTGTTGCAGCCCCTGCTCCCAGTTTATCCTGGCTGCCTGAATGGTTTACCCCAGAATTGTGTCCGCACCTTGATGGCGTGCATGCACACTTATTTGTGGTTTGTTAGACTGTGCAATGTTATATTTTGCTCTGGCTATGTTGTAAGTCCCTGCTTTCATTCTGCCAGCTGTCTGGCTTTGCTGATGTTTTACTCATAGCCCATCAATGTCATCCCAATGACAGGATCTGAGTATCTCTCAGGGAGTCATCACTGGACCTCCTGGTGCAGATGAGTTTTCCTTCACAGTTGACATATCTGTTGAGACCAGGGAGACCCTTGTGCAGTTCATCCTGGAGTGGAAGCTACAGCATATTCAGCTTTACCATCAGCCACCCTGGGCCTCATTATAAGTTTTTGAGGATTTGAACTTTCCGTTATGTTTCTAATTGTGTAAAAATATTGTGTGTGGATGAGTTTATGTTAACCTTGCTTTTGAATCTAACTCTAGGAGCTCACAGTGCACCAATTGCTAATAGTACACTGGTCATGCCTCAGGCTTGAAGATTGAGCAAGTTGCTACAAACACATGTCCCCAGGCATTGTCATTGCTAAGACTGCCATTGCTTTCTTGTTGATTTCAGGAAGCAATGGTGCAGACATCTGCATCAGTATCACATGATAATGTGTGCAATGGCATGTTGTGTCCAAGGCCATGAGATTAGCAGTGTGGAAAATCCCTGGGCAGACAGACAAGTTGACAATATTAGCTGAAAAACACCCCAATATGAAACCCTTAACTAGGGGAGTCACTACACACATGAACAAGAGAGGAGAGAATGAGATGGACTAACCCTAACCCTAGATGGGGCTTGGGCAGAAGTAGATGCCTCAATGAGAGGACTTGAGATTTAGGTTTACAAATGGAGCTAAGGGGAAATCCTGAAAGAACTCTCTTGGAGTTCTGGGTCATCAATTGCAGTCTTTATATACTACTGGGCAGATGTGCACAGCCAGACCATATATCTAAAGGCTCCTGCCATATTAGGGATACATAATATTTAGTAACAAGCACACCATATTGCATGATCCTTGCATCATATGATGTCATGGTCCAGACCCATCACATGCCTGGTCATGTGCCTGCTTATGTAATAGATAAGGTACAAACTCAGTCTTGTCAAAAACAAATGTGATAAATAATGCATTGTTTGTCTGAGTTAGGGCTAGAAAAAGGCATTTTTGACACAATGGGTGCACAGAAATGCAAGCAATCAGCCACACTGGGCTGTCAGGCAGGCTCAATGGCTCCTGATCCCCAATATTCTATCACACTCAGAAGAGGCACTGGTGTCCAACAGTGAGCAAGTAGTATTGATAAAGACGAAATACAAGGGTACTGACCTGGTGTCCAACAGTGAGCAAGTAAGGAGACGCTCTGTGGACACCAGGGTTATGTAGGTGAAAAGAAATAAGGTTTGGGAACTGTACAGTAGCTCGGAGTTCTCCATAGTAAGCCAAAGAGTAGAGAAAGGCAAAATAGGGGCAAAGTCGCGAGATACTGGAATAGGAAGGTGGTGAAGGTATAAACAAGACACAAGCAGAAGTATACCTCAACACACAATAGCTGAGTGGTTGCAGCGCTCTGGGCACTACCACAAGGCTCTAGGTTCAACTCACACAACAGGCAAGTTTTACCTCTTTTTACCCAAGTGTCCTGGAATGCTGGAAAGCGTACCAAGGCCACTGGGCTGCTGTGCCAAGGGCATAGGAGCGATGCAGAGGTGCTGGGCGCACTCTGACACTCCCCCTGAACC